TCTGCGGTCTTTGAAAAAATCAGCAAGTGCTTATTTATTCCAAATTGCACGAGAAAAATCATGTTTTCATATATTTAACGCGCAAAAGAATTCAGAGTCCGGCTAAACAGTTCTAGGAATTGTTCAGTCTGTGTCCGAATCACTTTCGATGAAATGGAATCGTCGTTTCCGAGGTTTAACCATGTTTGTTTTTAATTTCGGCGTAGGATTGCTCAAGCAAAGTTTCAAGCTGGGTCGGCTAGTAATTCTTGATTTGCTTGGCAGTTCCCTTCTCTAAACGCCTCTTTTTCCAAACCGACGACCAAAAGCAGTGCTTTTTACATTTTTTTCGTTGTAAGGGCTGTTTTTCAGCTGCTGTATTGTTGTTGCAGTGGCAAATAAAACCTACTTAAAACGCCGGCCATTGTTTCGCTCGCAAATTTTCAGCGTAGCCACATGTTGCGACATCCAAGGCTCGCATTTGATTGGATATCTGTGGGTTTCTTTGATAATTGACCAATCAGAATGTCTGGTTTGTCACTTCTTTGCACTGAATTAACCCTCTTCTGCACTGAATTACCTGAAAACTACATTTGTCGTAACCAATCAGAACTGAGTACTTTTTTCATGTATCTTATTAGGAGTATAACAAAGCAACAGATAATGATATAGTTCTTGAAATCTTACTTTGAGGTTTTATTAACCTCATGAGTTAGACTACCCTGCATTTTAAAGCAGTACGATCAATATGACAATTAACATATCTTTCTCTTACCGTTGCCAAGCTCCCATTTAAATTTATATCCTCTCTCTGCGACGTATTTAATTATTTTTAACGCGTTGCTTGGATCCCATGAGCCATTCACAAACCTTTTTAAAAAATTCAAACTGAAAATTACTTTGACGCCGGCCATCTCTGTGACCCAGTTGATCCTGTCTAACTCTTCGCCTGATATATTAAAAGTTTTTATCCCAAGAAGTTTATTTTCTTTTCCTTTCACGGCTTGAAAAAGCACAAACTGGCTGCGATCACCGCCAATTCGAACATAAGCCGGCGAAAGAGCTTTCATCAAGGTAATGATTCGTTTCTCTGTGGTATAGTTAAAATTCCACTCCAAAATTGTCCTCCAAGTCAGGCAAATGGATACGAAGTGTTCTTCGATTCTCGCAATCTCTTCTCTCATCTTTATGTTTACAATTTTAGTCACAATGACCTTGGCTTGACCAGATAAAGGTGCGTGGAAATTAACTCTGCTGAAATCCCGGGAGTCCATAAAGAAGCGCATAATCACGACTGCGATGATGATAAACGAGAGAATGGCAGCCTTACGGCTGCTAAGTTTGCAGTAACGTGTTAGCTGATGTCGTCCACGTAAGAAAGCCATCTCCATGATGTGAAAATGAAGAAAAATGAATTAAAATTGTTTGTGATAGGAATGAAACCTGTAGGAAAGCTCTCACTAGCACCGCAGCGTGAGAACGAATTATTTAACTTTGTGATTGGTTGATTGGAAAACAATATATAAAATAGATAGATTCCTTATTGAAATACATCGCAGCTTACGTATTTTCATTAAAATTCTAATTTAATGTACAAACTTACAAACTGAATAATACCTAAGAGCTAATGACAGTAATATCTAAAACATTAAAAAAAAAACTATAAACATCTTGTTGAAATCATATTGTTAAAGTCTAGTAATTTAAACAGTATTCACTAGGGCGCACGAAGCCATAATAAAACTATTCTTAGATCTGTTTGTTTTTTACAGCGGGGTATGCTGAAGGGGGATATGCTGAAGGATCGCGCCTGCCTAAGATTGTACTTGCTCTCATGTGGGGGCGGCAGTAATTTCCCGAGTTTATGGCCGCTGTCATTGAAAATACTTTCAAAAGTACGCTTGCAAGTATTTGCTATTTCGTTAGCGCCAACGCGTGCTGATATTCCATTCAGGGTAGATGATTCACATTGCCCTTTTCTGAACGCGCTCTAGTTCGTGCATTAAGTAGGCAGGTGGAGCATAATGAAACACAGGTACAGCTTAATCGTTAACAGAGCGCACACATGTGATGTAAAAAAGACAAAGATCTTTCCGAGAAACGCGGGCTCTTTTGAGCTGGATGAGAAAACAGAGCCTCTTGGCTGCCCTTTTTATCACTTCTGTAATATGCACGTTCCAAGATAGGTCACTTGAAATAGTTACGCCTAAGAGTTTAGTATCAGTAACAACCTTTATGCACTCTCCTCCGATAACTACAGGAGGGAACTTATGACTAACTGAAGCAAAAGAAATGTGAAGCTCCTTACATTTGTCAGGGGCAACAAAATGAGTGTTTTTATAAGAGTTGCAAAAGATTGCTGTTTTTCTTTGTTTTGTAGTCATCCCGGCTCAAGTGCAGTCACCTGTACAATCATCAGCTTTTGCATCAGGAGTAGTAGCGAGAGAACTTTTCTGGAATCTAAACCAATCGCTTCAAGAGTTTGACGTTGTTCCTTTTTCATTTCCTCTCAGCCTAGTTCCCCTAAAGAAGATGAAATTTACCCCCTCAAAGTCCATCTTTACCAACTAACTAGCTTGCAAACGATTTACCCCGCGTGGGAACCTGGAAAAAGCGTAAAAGCTTCGTAAAAGGCCATCACTTATCCCTTTTTTTAACTACGAAACTTCCAGGAGCACTGGATGGCATATTGGGAAAAGTCTCGGTTTTTTCTTCTGGTTTATAAATTATACTTTTGATTGGTTACGATGAGTCCCAAGTTCAAGTATACAAAAGCAATTTATGTTCATCTCTTCTTCTGCTGGCGTAGCGGACCGTGTGCTATATTTTGAGCACGCGCAGAAGTTAACCGGAAACAATAACTAAACAATGTAGACATGCGCAGTTAAAACCGGAATCCCACGATTTCAGGGATAAAAATTCCATTCTCCTAGAGCCCATTATTTGGCGATCATACCCCTGACAACCAGCCAAAATGACCCTGGGCTCGAGATTGCCCTTGAGAAAGTTCAAGTTGCCCGCGGGCTACAGTGAAGTGACGTGGGTTTTCATGAGACGAAAGGTTTTACACTCACTTGCTCGCAAAGCCTTGCTCGTTCGTTTCTGACAACAACCTTGTGGGTAAATATCATACGTCAGCACTTTCCATGAAGAAATCTAGATATTCTTAACATCGAGATAGGAATCTTCATTTTTCAGAATATCAAATAAAGGTTATTTTAATTTCTTTTTTGATCGATTTTTTTGGAAAAAAATTTAAAATTCATTACGTATCCCTATCCAAATTTTGACACCAAAATGCGAGTTAGTCTTTCTAAGTACATTTTATCAAGAGTTCTTACGAGAACTAAATTTCGTAGCATAAGAAGGTGACAGGCACAAGCTTTGCTTCAATAAATAAAGAAATGGCATGTTTTTTCGATCAGTTAAGTAAATTAAACAGGGGCCTACAGAGTAATATGAATTTCTTAAAGGGAATATATATACTTGCAGCTAAAATAGCGAATAGCTGTTTTTTCTTTCTTATGATATTTACTCGTGTGAAGTTCTTGATCCCTCTCGAAAGTTATGGCGCTTTTATTAAGTCGGGGGACTTTGTTGATCAGGTTCAATCTTTCTCTTTATATGATAATAAAGTTTCTATCAGTTTGTATGAAAAACTGGATCATTGGATAATGCAATTCAAGAGTTTTCATTAGCTTAGCCAGCATGGGTTATGAGTCATTAGACTATGCGCATGCACGAAGACGAGTTAATCGAGAAGTGTTTTTGAACATTGTAACATTCCGTTTGTTCTTTCAAAATATAGTTGGGAAGATTTATATACATTTGGGGCGTTTTAATGAAACAGTTATTCTACTCGCGCTTGTTGGATATGAGATGATTATAGCCAACGAGGCTCGTAGTCTCATATCCGACGCGCGCTAGGAGAACAATTGTTTAATATCCTCCTTCAATTCGACTATTACTAGCTGCGACTATCAACCAAGAGCTATCTTCAGTCTTTAACTATTTCGCCGTCATTTCGGCCCGGTTGAAACCTCTCGACCTTATGAGCTTCTAATTCAAGGTCAAAATGCATGCAGTTTGAAAAAAGATGACTCTATCAAAAAGTGGGAATTTCTTATGAGGAGGCATAACTTTTGAGCTTATGAGCTTCTACTTCAAAGTCAAACTGCAATTATTTTGAAGAAAGGTGACTTTATCAAAAAGCGCGAATTTCCTATGAGGAAACAATAATTTTGAAACGTCTAGTGATAAAATTATCTTCGCCTTCATTCTGCTAAGAATATAGAGCTGCGACCATCAAACACGAGCTTTATTCAGTTTCTAACCATTTTGCGATCGTCTCGGCCTAGTCGAGGTCTTTTTAATACTTATGAGCCTCTGCTTCAAAGTAAAACTTCATGAGTTTTGAAAAAAGAGATGACTCTAACATGAAGTGTTGTTTTCACTTACTGATGCCAAGTTACTGAATCGAGGGTAGAGCCGCCGTTCTCAAGAAACCTATTCAGTCACAAAGAAAATATTTTTAGCTGCAAGTATCAGCCTAATGTAGAATATTAAGTCAAGGCAGCAGATTAAAGAAATCGGAAGACACTGATTAGAGTGTAAGAGGTTGACAAAAAAAGACTATCTCCCATGAATGCATGTGTTTAACGTTTCTACAACCTGTGCAGAAATCAGTTGGCTCTGATGATGAATTGCAGTCAGGTCGGCGACACATCAGTCAGAGTCACAGACATCATTCTGAACAACCCGGAAGACCAGACTACACAATCAACAGTATTTGTGGTTGCATTTAGCATGGAGCTTAAGGAAAACATATTTAAAATCCTAAGATTTAGATATGGATAATTGTGACCTGATTTCCCGTTGACTGATGTCTTTAACATTAGAATCACATAAAAGTAGGTGTATGCTCCTCTGTTTAAATCCAACTTCGCTTTAAGATTCATGAACCCGAAAAACCATTATGCAACACGAGCCCAGTTAGGCCAAAACGGAGAGTTTTCCCCTTGAGGGTGAAAGCATTGGAATACCCTATTTCATTTCAAGACATGAGACGCGAATCTCCTGTAATTTTCAGGATAGGAAATGGAAATCCCCTGTTTTGTTTGAAGATGAGGAGTCAGAATTCATCGTTTATTACCTACGAGGTAATAAACGATGAATAATAAAGAGTACACGATGAATAATAAACCTATGAGGTAATAAACGAGTCGAGGCTGTGTTACATCTGGTCCAACAAGAAAGTTGTTGATGCCATGGATCTGTGCCAACAGCGTCCTAACTTTCTTAAAGTCCTTAGCCAGTTGCTCAGGCGAAATAGCGAAACCGAAGGGTAGCAGTTGTAGATGATTAGGTTCTGCCGCAGACAAAGAAAAAGTCTTAATCATTTTGATGCGAAAGATAAAGTAAACATTTTGGGGGCCTTATGAAAACCTCTACAATACAGTACACAATTTTCATTACACTCCTTTGAAAGGTGGGGTAAAATAAAACTTATTTTGGTTTATGTAATATTTAGTCTTTTTGATATTAAAAGTAAACTTTTAGTCTCTGTATCTTCTAGAATTCGCTGTATTATCACGATGATGAAGTTTATTGTTCTATCATTCGATTATAGAGCTCGTTTGTCCTAATAATCTGTTGAAGCCGGAGAGCCTAAGTAGAAGAAAATAACACGCTTACGCATGAGCAAACAATCATTCGTTTCAGCAGGTTATGTATATTGGGTCTCCGCTTGTAAAGAGGGAGATTATAGTGCAACTTAAAATCTGACTGTGAGGTTCAATTAAATGCATGAGTAATGTTACAATTTCAATAATTAAAAGCAGCAATAAGCTAATTTACGCGTCCTTCTCTTACCGTTGCCAAGCTGCCATCCAAATTGATATCTTCTCTTAGCGACATACGTCATTATTCTTAAGGCGTTGCTTGGATCCCACGAGCCGTCTTTGAATCTTTTCATAAAGCTCAAACCGAAAACTACTTTAAGGCCGGCCGTGTTTGCGATCTGGTTGATTCTGTCTTAATCTTCGCCGGAAATAATCAAAGTTTGTTTCCCAAAAGGCTCTCTCTTTTCTTCTCCCTGAGACTGAAAAATTACATAGTGGCTGCGAGTACCGCCAATTCGAACATAAGCCGGCGAAAGAGCTCTCATCGGGGCAATTATTCGTTCCTCTGCGGTAGTGGTAAAATTCCACTTCAAAATTGTCTTCCCAGTCTAGCAAAAGGATACAAACTGTTTTTCGACCCGTGCTATCTCTTTGTTTGTCTCTATGTTTACAATTTTATTCATAATGACCTTCTCTGGATCATGTGGGGGTGCCTTTTCCTTTGTACGAAACTTGCAGCCTAGCAAGGCGATAAGCAAGTAAAGAAACACGAGTGCGATGAATAGACCAGAGACAGCAGCGGTTCTAAGGTTGCGCGATAGTCGCTGGTTGCGTCTTCCCCGTGTGAACGTCATTCTGAAGTGAAAAATAAGCCGATTTGGGGGTAAACAACACTGGATATTCTCAAGAGAAGAATAATTTATGTGAGAATTTCTGTCGTTGAAATTATCGCAGGCGTGTAACAAAGGAAAGAAGTCCCCTGGGATGCCTCAATTGTCCGAGAGGACTCTTTCGGTGGGTCAGGCGATGTACCAAGTTCATGAAGGACAAGTGCGTTGGGATCTACAGCGCTCTGTGGAGATATAGAAAGAAAAACGGTCAAGTTTAGGAGTCATTATATTGGAACAAATTTCAGAGTTATAGTCAATGCCATTGTCTTTCAACAGATGATGGTTATGATGGAACTATTCCTTGTGAACAGATATGTCTGGGAGGTACTTGAATCATAAACAGCCACGTACATATCATTGTTATCCAACCACGCAAAGTAGATCTAGAGTACAAATTACGCGCGAATAGAGTAAGAATATCTTGTAAAATATATACCTTATGAGAAGTTTGGGTGTGTAGTATCGCTGAGTATTTTAACGTGTTGTTTTTTGTACGATTCACCCTACGGGCTCGTCAAAATTCGCATCTTGAACAAGTTCAGGTTGCTCCTGGACGATGTGTGTGTGTGTGAATAAAAAATAGCATTGTTTTTTTTTGTGTAATATATTGAAAGGACGTATCAAGATGAATGTGCTCTACGAGGTGTAGAGTATTCCAACTTCTCTGTTGTGTTGGAGCGCATTTGACCGATTGCGTAAATAACCGATCAGAACAAAAGAAAATCTCCTGGCTATTATGAGAATCATTACTTCATTTCATTTTTCACTCTAATGATAATTTTTTTTTCATGTTTCGTTTCAAAATTGTTTGTAATTTAACTAGTCGAGTAATGAATCAGTAATTAGGGAAACTACTTTCATTAGTATTTGGCACCTTACTCTACGAAAATGCCATAGGAACTAACAAACAATTCACTAAACGACTGTTCACAACATGGACGACGACGTTACTGGGGAATATGACCCTCGATCATTTTTGCCACGAGCCCGGGGCCAATATTCCCTCGCGCGCGGTTAGTAAGAAGTTATTAGCTCACAAAAATCTCCATTTTAGCCCGCAAAATGCGCCACAATACCCGAGAAATAGTTATTCTTAAAAGGTTTTTTCTCTGTATTTCTCTCATGTGGTTTCCATCTAGTATTGTCAGTATGTTCCCTGGAGTTTTTCTACTGCAAATGTTTTTCTTCGGTTTTGTTAGATCTAACCAAAGACTTTGTGCAGTTAAAATAGTAAAATAAAGAGTAATCAAAAGAAATTTTGTGTGTTGAGGAAAATCTTCTTCTTCTTCCTCTTAAGGTCATTATTTACATTTATTCACTATATGTGTTCTTTATCAAGTGGTCTGGTTGTCCAGATGTGAGTAAACCAGAAAAAAAGAACTGTTTTCAGTGACGGGACGGTAATTATCATCAGTCTAGCGCGAGATGTCTTTACATCTGGATAAGACAATAAGGTTTGCTGACGAACCAAACCAGTTCCGTTTCCTCGGTATATAGCTTTATCCTTGACCCGGCACGTCCTCCAGTCCGCACATTCGTTTGCATATTCTTTCTTCACTTCGTTTTAAATTTTCAACCATCTTCCACTATGGACAGCGATTTTATCTCAGCTAGTTTCTGCTGGAGTTGCTGCTGACGATCCTCGTCGGAGAGTTCTTCGTTCTTCCAGCCCAGTTTGTTTGTGAGGTCGCAAAGGACTTGCGAAGCCTGACTGTAATAACTTGCCTGTATAAGAAATAATAAAAAGGTGTTTACGTCCAAACATCAAGCGTATCATCTTAAATTAGACCGAAACAGCCCAAAGCGCGGGAAAACGCGGGAGACCGAGTCGCAATCGGTTTTGGTTTGTAATCTGATTGGTTGACAAAGCGGCGGAAATTTCTGGACTAATCACATAACGAAATAATGCTTCCGGACGCTTTCTACACTTATTTGAAAATTACCTTAAAGTATTAAAACGATCAATTATTTTCAAATTACTTCGTGCTTTTGGCGTTTACTCTTTTTCTTCGGACTTGACAGTTTCCTCATGTTATGCTTCCTGGGATGAATCCTAAAACAGGTACACATTTACTCACTCACCCCTGATCGGATCATGGCTTCAAATGAGGGTTCAAAGTAATCTGTCCTACCATCAATCAGTTGTGGTAGATCCTACGATAAAGGAACAAAATTACATTGAACACGACATTTTTTCGCGCACCTGCATAAAACGTTTGTCTGCTGTCCTTATCTTCTGACATAGAAGCCCCAAGAGGACAAGAGATTCATATCTTCACGTGTTTGTTTGGTGGTGTTTGTTTTCTTTGATTCTCTAACCAGTAATTTGGGACGTATAGCCAATGAATAACGAGCACCAGGGACGCGTTTTAACCCTTGAACTCCCAAGACGTGATTGCTAATTCTCCCCTCTCCCTGCTACACATTCCCGTGTAAAATATTTTAGAGAATCTAATGTTGGATCAAGATAACAACTTATGCCTGATAAGTATGAGTATTCTCATCTTCTGTTTGCTGGATGATGTATGGATATCATTGGGAGAAGTTACATGCTAATCACTTCTGGGATTTAAAGGGCTGGCCCTCAGACCCTTAAGTCTGCATCTTACTTCTCCTCACAACATCACCCCTGACTCACACATAAAGGTTCAAAAAAAAGGTTCAAAAAAGAAATGATCACCGATGAAAAAATCTCGATTGTAAAACAAATTCTCCTTGTTAGAACCTTAGTAAATGCATACAGAACAGTACGGAGAATATTCATACAAGTGTAAAGGGTTTTGAGAGTCTTTTCATGATTCCAAGATCTGAATTAATTAGCTACAAAAGCAAGCAAACAATTAAACAGCAAACGACAATTGTTCCCTCCAATTACATCTGGTTTGGTGGATACAGATCCCATCTGGAGCGGAATGGGGAATATATCACGATCAAGTTCGTTTTTCCACATCAAAATCATGAAAAGTTTGATAACTCAGCGACATACCTCCAACATGACGGCGTTTTGTCTTTCATAATCCAGTTTGGCCGCTGCTAATGCTTGATTATTCTAAGTAAAACACAAGTATTGATTAACCTCAGTTATGATCCGGTGTAATTTAGTACTCCAATCTTCGACTGGTATTAATTCTTAACACTGCCGCAATGGCGATGTTAAAGTACCATGTAGCAAGAACATCACTCGGTTGTGCGTCGTGTGCCACTTTTTTTTTTGGTTCTTACCATATTTTGACGTCATTTGTGATCTATTATTGAACATTTGTACATGGGTTCCTTTTATTCAACAGCTTACATTAAGAAGGATTGGTAAAAAGAGTGAAAGGTAGACAAGTCGTTGGCTGTTACCGCATCCAGTTTAGCTTGAGTCTGTGGAGTTTTTTCTCTGTCTTGTAGCTTCAGCACTTTAGCTTGATATTTCTGATAATCCTAAAGTTAAAAAGGGGAATTGCACGTTCATCGAATTTAAGTAAAAATTTACAAATCTAACACAAAACAACTTGCTCTGAACATTTTCCTTCTGAGACCTTACGTGGCGCTTGGACAAGTGATAGTTACTAGTGACGATGCGGAGTTGCAGTGGACTATTGGTCAGTGAGGTGGACTCCTGGTCCAGAGGAAAAAAAAACAGTGCCCACTCCACCCAGGAGTGTATATGGGTACCGGCAAATTGCCAGGGATGCATGATAAAATGATAAAGCCATTTGGCTTTAGTACAGACTTCACCTTACTCCTACCTAATGGTGATGCAAAGGCGTAGCAAGGGGAGAGGATCCTGGGGTGCCCGTAACCCCTATCCTCCTCCTTTGTAAGCCTTTTTTAAGCGAAATACTTACAATATTCAGGTAACAAAAACTGGCGAGTACCCTCTGTATGACACAATGTGACC